AATGGAACGTAAAAACTCGAGGGTTATTTAGTATAGTCAGTTGTGCGCAGTCTTAAGCAAGGATGGTATGCAGAATCCCCAGATTACTCATTATGTAACGGGTCCTCGTGAGGATTTGGTGACATTAGACCAGTGTTCCCCGCACCTTTCCTACACATTTCACGCGTTGGGAATCCTCTCTGACTGGATCACAGTACATAGAGAATATCGGTAGGTTTAACATTCCCTTAGGTGTGTGTAGAGAAGACCATGCCCGTATTTGCGTTCACTGACTAGTTTCGCCCGTCGGAGACTGCGCTCCACCTTCGGTAGTGCCATATATGGGGAATTCCATAGTATTAGCAAGTCTGCATAAGCCTTCCATACGACTAAAATTACACAAGTTTATGTAACTACAACTTACTTAATATCGTATATGTGAGCTTCTGATGATAGCCTAGAGTGGTAGGTAAAGTGACTTATCGCCTCTGGGGTGTTAGTGTTAAGAAAAAGTGCTATTGTCATGGAGCAGGATAGGTAAATGTTAGAGGTAGGTAAATATGTTGAGATATGTGTACAGTCCCTTCTCTGCTGGCTATTCTGGAACATTCCATGACGTATAATAGTATAGGTTGCCAACTAGTTAATCTGACTCGTATAATAACGCAATGTTACATATAGCTTGAGTGGCTGGGTGTATTAACCATTTAGGTAAAATAATTCCATATAGATCAACTGATATCAACTAGATACAGTTTAAGGCTGATGGTTATTTAATATATTCAGTTTCCTGACGGCTATTTAGTAAAGTCAGTTTCCTGACGGTTATTTAGTATAGTCAGTTTCCTGACGGTTATTTTGTATAGTCAGTTTCCTGACGGTTATTTAGTATAGTCAGTTTCCTGGCGGTTATTTAGTATAGTCAGTTTCCTTAATATTATGTAACATGCTTTCTGTAAACCTCTGTGCGACGGTAGGTAGGTGTTGGGGTCGGTGGTGGCTCTCACTCTGTGACATGGGTTGCCACTGATACCTTGTGTCTCGAGGCAAAGAATTTCCCCTCCTGTCTGTTGCTGTCTTGCAACATTCCATAGCTCCTGAAGACGCACGAGAGTGCGAAAGATCTTGAGCTAAAATTTCCAACCCAATGTGGTTTGTTCTGCATTGTTAAGATCGCCTATTTGCGATTGTTTTGCGTCACTGTGTTATGAAAACACTCTCACCTGTCTCTTTCCTCTTGTAAGCCTGCTGGTGAAGACGGTAGAGTCGGGCTCTCAATTTACAGGCCGTTGTTTGAACCCCTCCTCCGCCGTCCATCTTTCTGTTTATTCAAATGAAAATTTATTAACTACATCATATTTCCTACACTGAGCGCCACGTGTGAGTGTCTTGACAAACCTCATCTCCGACGTCGTCATTCTTCTCCGGTCATAATATTAATTTTTACCACCTTGATGCATCCCCTTGAAAATGTTTCACTGTAAAGACAAAGTGGGTCGTTGCTCACTGGAAACTAGACTCAGCTATGATGCTGTTGATGTTTTCACAGTTATACTTGGCAATAGTTAATGTTGTATTGTTAATGTTAGACTCTTAATGTTAGCTAATATTAGACGGTTAATGTTTGTTGATTAATTACTGTTGCATCAGTTAGTTGTTGAAAATACTTGTAGATCCATCAAGAGGCTGTTGAAAATACTTGTAGTTGCGCTTCAGTTGGTAGACCTCTAAGGGGATGAGGGTGGGATTGTGGGGGTGAAGGTGAGGTTGTGGGTGGGGGTGAGAGTGGGATAGTAGGTGGAGTGAGGATGGGAGCGAGGGTGGAGTGTGGGGCCGGGAGTGTCATTGGGGGGGAAGGTGGAGCTGTGATTGATGGTAATTATGTAGTTTTTATATATATTTATATTTTATGTTTCTCTTCTTAATTCCTCGTAATTAAATGGCTGCCATCTTCATCTTTTTTTTTTTTAAAGTTGATGTTTTCTCTTTTTTTAGATGTACGTATTAACTTTTTGGCTGCTGCCTTTCATATCTTTGGCATCCCAAGATTAATTAATTTATTCAGTGTCTCTCAGTTGTTTCTTGACATTGTTGCATCTCCATCTGCGTATCCAGTGTTCAACAAATTATTTATATACAGTGGAACCTCGGTACTCGAACAGCTCCGTACTCGAACATTTCGGTACTCGAGCGCTTTGTTCGGTAAAAAAAATCGCTCGGCACTCGACCAAACAAACACGACCTGCCGGAACATGTGCGTCAGTCTCCCTGCAGGTGTCGCTCAGTGCAAAACTCCACTGAACTTCCTTGTAAACTATTTCGTGTTTCTTCGCATTTTTTTTTAATTTTTTTTATATTATTTATATAAATTAGGCGCCATGGGGCCTAAGAAGATTAGTGATAACAGGGAACCAAAAAGTAAACTGGTTAGAGTGTGTTTGCCCTGATGTAAACACCACCTTTGCCTCTCCATATAATATGCCTTCCATTAATTTCACCATCTTTATTGTGCTTCTAGGTTATCTGTCATGTTTCTGATATCAAGTTAGAATAAATATGATAGATAACCTTTAACATTAATATTATCGTAATTACACAACATTGTATTCGCGCCATCGCTAGTATCCGGCTATCAAGACGACTCATCAGATACTCCTTTATATTACGCTTGCTTTCCATTTTGAATTTTTATTCATACAAAAAATAGATTTACTGTTATGCAGTCTATTGCATTACTGAGAAAATGGTATAAATAATATCAGCGCATTTGTGAAAGCATATTAGACCCACCAGTGGACGTGTATTGGACGTGTGATGCGATTTGCTTAAACATCAGCAAAAATCAAACAGTTATGCTATTTTGAGCTCAATTTCAAGGTATTTTAGTCAGTAAACCATTCAAAATCATCTCTATTTTTGTAAAATATCTTTCATTCTATCACTGAGACCAAGAAAACGAGAATACGATCATAAATATTATTCGAAAATACACCACAAAGTCGCTGTGAGTGTATTTTTGGGGGTCTGAAACGAATTAATCAAATTTACATTGTTTCTTATGGGAAAAATTCGTTCGGTACTCGAACAAATCGACACTCGAACAGCCTTCTGGAACGGATTAAGTTTGAGTACCGAGGTTCCACTGTATTACACATTTCGTGTTATGTAAACACCTTCCTCCTATTTAACTTAACTCCTCGGATGAATATCGCATTGAAATGCCTCCCTTAACTAGTTGTACATAATGTACTAGCGCATGTCATTCAATACTTGTATATGTTCTTGAAAGTTCTGCATATTTGTAGCCCAGAATTCATAATGAGGAAATAACAGTGATTTACAGAATATGTTGTTTGTACTCTTATATATTAAGAAAGTATTATTGACAATTCTTCATAAATTTCTAGAAACACATTTTATAACCCTAACAATGAGAAAGAACCATACACATCACGAAATATGATGGTGCTGATCTATAATACAATGTATAAATCACAATATGATGGTGCTGATCTATAATACAATGTATAAATCACAATATGATGGTGCTGATCTATAATACAATGTATAAATCACAATATGATGGTGCTGATCTATAATACAATGTATAAATCACAATATGATGCTGATCTATAATACAATGTATAAATCACAATATGATGGTTCTGATCTATAATACAACATATACCTCACAATATGATGGCGCTGATCCATAATACAACATATACATCACAATATGATGGTGCTGATCTATAATACAATGTATAAATCACAATATGATGGTTCTGATCTATAATACAACATATACCTCACAATATGATGGCGCTGATCCATAATACAACATATCACAGTATGATGGTGCTGCTCTATAATACAACATATACATCACAATATGATGGCGCTGCTCTATAATACAACATATCACAGTATGATGGTGCTGCTCTATAATACAACATATACATCACAATATGATGGTGTTACTCTACAATGCAATTTTCCTTCACATTTCTTCTCTACTTAAGATTTTCAAAATGTTACATTTATAAATATTGATGTCAAAGAAATATTTGAATAAGAATTTCTGTCACACTGCTGATGGGTATTCTGTAAGATTCTATGCGCAAAATGCATTAAATTTTATTTTGGTAAGACTGGAAAAAGTCTTGAACTAAAACTACATCAAGGTAAATATAACATAGAAACTAGGAGGGAGTCTAATGTTCCATTTATTCATGTGAGAAATTTTAATCACTCCAGTGATTACTTAAAAATAGAGAGAAAGCTCTAATGTGAAAGTCAATGGTCGAAAGAAATTTAATAGATTTGATATTTATAAAAGCTAGTACTACTTGCAATCTGAATATGAGGCCAGGATTATATAAACTAGATTCATTCATAATACATAAAATTTGTGAGAATTATAATCTATACTAGCAAGCAAATTCATATTCGCTTGACATGTTACTCTTAACCTGACTTAAAAGTTGAGAACAGTGAGGTGTGCCGGCTGACCCACAACCACTGAGTCACTTAACAACCCACTGACTATATGTGAGGCGATATTTCTCCTAGGTAAAATTGTTACTTAATTATTTTTACTATCCCTTGATAATTGGAGAGATGAAAGTTCTTTTTGGATTATTGTTAGTTTTCACTGATATATATATATATATATATATATATATATATTATATATATATATATATATATATATATATATATATATATATATATATATATGTCGTGCCGAATAGGCAGAACTTGCGATCTTGGCTTAAATAGCAACGCTCATCTTGCCATATAGGACGAGCGAAAATTTGTGTATGCAATAATTTCGCCAAAATCATTCTGAACCTAACGAAAAAAAAATATTTCACTGTGTTTGTTTAGTATTAAATTATTGTAAACAAATCTAAAATATATTTAGTTGGGTTAGGCTAAAATAAAAATTTTTTTGTTATAAGGTTAGGTAAGTTTTCTAAGATTCTTTTGGTGCAAAATTATAAATTTTTACATTAACATCAATGAAAAAAATATATCTTCACACGTATAAGAGAAAATTTTAGAAAGGACTTAATTTTAAACGAGTTCTTGCTAATTGACCAGTTTTACATATTCGGCACGACATATATATATATAAAATAAGATCACAGTAAACAAGTGATATCAGAATATGCAGAACAACCACTGTGAAAATAATAGTGACATTCTAAATGCTTTCGTGACTTCTCACATTATCAAGGAACTATAAAAATAACAGGTTAACATGAGACATATAAGGACGAGACTACACTTCACTGCCACCCCCCGCCCCCAACAACAACACCTGACTTTTTATGATGATATTGGTAGGTAGTCAGTGATGCGTGTAACACAGCTTATATTCTACCCAAAAATTTGTCTAATGTACCTTAAATTCTTTCCAAATTTCATTAATTACATAAATTGGATTCATTTATAATTAATAAAATTTGGTAAGAATTTAAGGTAAATGAGACAAATTTTTGGGTAGAATATAAGCTGTGTTACACGGATCACTGACTACCTACCAATATCATCATAAAAAGTCAGGTGTTGTTGGGGGGGGGGCAGTGAAGTGTAGTCTCGTCCTTATATGCCTCATGTTAACCTTTTACTTTTTATAATTCCCTGATAATGTGGGAAGTCACGAAAGCGCAAAGAATTTCACTAGTTTTTTTCACAGCGGTTGTTCTGCATGTGTGTGTGTGTGTGTGTGTGTGTGTGTGTGTGTGTGTGTGTGTGTGTGTGTGTCGCGCCAAATAGGTAAAACTGGTCAATTAGCAAGAACTCTTTTAAAATTAAGTCCTTTCTAAAATTTTCTCTTATGCGTTTAAAGATATATTTTTTTTCATTCATGTTAATGTAAAAATTAATAAGTTTGTACCAAAAGAACCTTAGAAAATTTACCTAACCTTATTATGACAAGCGCAATTTAATTTAGACTAATTCAAATAAATATATTTTACATAAGTTTACAATTATTTAATAAACAAACACAATGAAATATATTTTTTCGTTAGATTCAAAATGATTTTTGCGAAATTATTGCATACACAATTTTTCGGTTGCCTTATTCGGCAAGAAGAGCGTTGGTAGATAAGACACATAGGCAACATTTAGGCAACTTTATTCCGAAACGTTTCGCCTACACAGTAGTCTTCTTCAGTCGAGTACAGAATGTAAGCGAGAGCAGTAGACATGTGAAGACGATGTAATCAGTCCATCACCCTTGAAGTAATAGATTTGAGGTTGTCAGTCCTTCAGCCTGGAGAAGTTCTGTTCCAAAGTCTGGAACTAACTGTTAGTTAGTTGCCTAAATGTTGTCTATGTATCTTATCTACCAACCTGTCGGTATTGTATGCCATTTGATAAGAGCGTTGCTACTTAAACCAAAATCCCAAATTTTACCTTTTCGGCTCTACATTATATATATATATATATATATATATATATATATATATATATATATATATATATATATATATATATATATATATATATGTCGTGCCGAATAGGCAGAACTTGCGATCTTGGCTTAAATAGCAGCGCTCATCTTGCCATATAGGACAAGTGAAAATTTGTGTATGCAATAATATCGCCAAAATCATTCTGAACCTAACGAACAAAATATATTTCACTGTGTTTGTTTACTATTAAATTATTGTAAACAAATCTAAAATATATTTAGTTGGGTTAGGCTAAAATAAATTTTTCTTGTTATAATAAGGTTAGGTAAGTTTTCGAAGATTCTTTTGGTGCAAAATTATAAATTTTTACATTATCATTAATGAAAAAAATATATCTTTAAATGTATAAGAGAAAATTTTAGAAAGGACTTAATTTTAAATGAGTTCTTGCTAATTGACCAGTTTTACATATTCGGCACGACATATATATATATATATATATATATATATATATATATATATATATATATATATTATATATATATATATATATAATATATATATATATATATATATAGCAGGACAAAAGGACGACTAACCAGCTCTAGCAAGTTGCACATTCTGTACTGAGAATCTAGACATTAGCAGTAACACTCATCCTCAGCCAGTTGCATTACCTCTACTTGAATGCATAATTAACGTTCTCTTCCCCCCAACAGATCGCACTACCTGGTAAACGTTGGCTGGGTGAATGCCACGACACTGTGGGCGTCGTGGGCGTCAAGAGACCAGAGCACAGCAGTACTGGCCACCTGCGACAATGTCGACTGGAACTGCTCCTTGGTGGGTTCTGTGTTGATGGGAGGACGGGAGTGAAGTCTTGGTGAGGGAGAGGGGTGGTAAAGGGGGTAATGGTCGGTGGGAAGGGTGAAGGAAGGGAACAATGAGATGGGGTGATAAGAATAGAATAATGAATGACAAGGATAAAATCTTGTGGAAGGAATGATGTAGAAGTGGAATGAGATGAGGACGAAATGTCTTGTAAACTGGAAGGAGAAGTCGGATTGGAGAAAACCTTTAAAAGCCTAGAGAATATTTATGCATAAATATACCAGATAACTTTCAGGAGATGCCTTGTTATCCCTAAAAGTTATCAGTATTCTCTATAATCGTTGAATGTCTTTGAAGCCTCACATAACCTTTAAAGCTGCCTGGCAGTGCTGCCGGAGCCTACCTAGAGAAACATTACTCCATCTTCCCTGAAGGATTTATAGGCAACCACTTCTTAACCTACACTCATTTATGTATTCCACTCTGATAAATTAGACACATGTATGTATTCCACTCTCTTCCCCGTTACTCTTTATAATCTTGATCTCATTCATCATCAAGGGTCACGTTCGTGTCTCAGTACTCTTCAATCTTTCCCACTCGAAAACATCTATATACAGAGGCAAACTTCTCGACTTTGTTTTTGAGAAAATTCACGACGCTCTAACCCACTGCACCATACAATCCTACAAACAACTTCAGCCTAACGAACTAGGCTTCAAGTTGTGAGGACACGATTGTGTGGGTGCCTCAGAGTTAATTTCATTCTACTCCCCGTTTGGTGTACTAGCCTCCACAAGCAGTATATATAGTATTGTAACCACGATGAAGTGGTATTTAATCAGTAACAACACTGCGACTAGCCAGGGGATCGAACCCGTGTTGTTTTTGCCCGCTTCATAGCGAGCAATTATTCACGATGCTCTAACCCACTGGCTAATACACCAAACGGGGAGAAGAATGAAACTAGCTCTGAGGCACCCACACCAATATATATATATATATATATATATATATATATATATATATATATATATATATATATATATATATATATATATATATATATATATATATATATATGCGCAAGGAATTCGCAAGAGCAGGCGACGTATACACAAACACTGATCTCTGGCTGAAGAGACTCGAACCTACGAACCTTGGAACAAGGTACGCAGTGCATCCACATTCTCACCACACTGGACCAATACCTTGGTGAGAATGGTAATGCACTGCGTACCTTGTTCCAAGGTTCGTAGGTTCGAGTCTCCTTCAGCCAGAGATCAGTATTTGTGTATATATATATATATATATATATATATATATATATATATATATATATATATATATATATATATATATATATATATATATATATATATAATATATATATATATTATATATATGTCGTGCCGAATATGTAAAACTGGTCAATTAGCAAGAACTCATTTAAAATTAAGTCCTTTCTACAGATTTCTCTTATACGTTTAAAGATATATTTTTTCGTTAATGTTAATGTAAAAAATTTTAATTTTGCTCCAAAAGAATCTTAGAAAACTTACCTAACCTTATTATAACAAGAACAATTTATTTTAGCCTAACCTAACTAAATATATTTTAGATTTGTTTATAATAATTTAATACTAAACAAGCACAGTGAAATATATTTTTTTCGTTAGGTTCAGAATGATTTTGGCGAAATTATTGCATACACAAATTTTCACTTGTCCTATATGGCAAGATGAGCGTTGCTATTTAAGCCAAGATCGCAAGTTCTGCCTATTCGGCACGACATATATATATATATTATATAATATATATATATATATATATATATATATATATATATATTATATATATATATATATATATATATATATATATATTCTGTGACTGGCTGAGATTCGAATCCACGATTTTAGCAGCCTCCTAGGAAGCCAGTTAATACACAAATAACCCGCACATAGGAGAGAGGTGCTACAACGACGTTTCGGTCCGGTTTGGACCATTGACAAAGTCACACTGGTCTAAGTCGGACCGAAACGTCGTCGTAGCTCCTCTCCTATGTGTGGGTTATTTGTGTATTGTTCCACTCACGGTATAGTGTTTTTTTGTTATTTAAGGCAGTTAACTCTCGATACTCTAAGCCACTGCACCACCATGTTCTCATTAGACATCTAACGTTTTCCTCAAGGTGGTGCAGTGGTTTAGAACATCCAGAGTTTATCTGGCTTCCTGAGAGGTTGCCTAAAGAGTCTCGGGTTCGAATCTTGGCCAGAGACAGTATTTATTCTTTGCTTTAAAACTACTTGTTTATATGGTTGCGTTTATTTGTGTACCGTTCGTGAGGCTGGTATCCAAATAGGAGGAGAATGACATTAATATCTGAACTTACCACTTCTCCAAATGGTGCGGGCTCTAGCGAAAACATATCTAGTGTTTTCATTAGACATCTAACGTTTTCGGTCAGTGTGGTACAGTGGTCTAGAACATCAAGAGTTTATCTGGCTTCCTGGGAGGCTGCATAAAGTCTTGGGTACGAGTTACGACCAGTCGCAAAATTGTTCGTTGCATATGATCAATATTGGTCACAGCTTCCCAGACGCAGTGAACTTGACTCTCCACTCCCTGCCACAGGTACACGTCAATCACAAGGAGGGCGGAGGTGTGTCTCCAGTCGTCCGTTCAGTGGTGTGGGCAGGGACCTGGGCAGTGTTTCCCTGGTCAGTGAAGACTCTCTCAGGTGCCTGGCACAACCATGTGGCACTGGTGGGGGCACGCGAGGGCCGCCACTCACCACTTACCCTTGAAGAGTACCACGTCACTGAAGTCCTCGGCTTCGTTCTCAATGACAGCCTCGTCTACTTCAGGGGATCAGGTGCGGACAGACGTTGCTGTTTAGATTACCTGAGGGAGAATCGTGCTGTACATATATTTGTATTTGTTTGTGTGTGTAGTGTGTGTGTTGAATACCTGTCACAGAGAAATATAAACCCACATGGAAGTAAAAACAAGAAAAAATAATTATCTATATATTTCGACCTCCAACTGGGCTTCTTTTTGGAAAATACAAAAGAGAGGAAAGCATGCTATATGTGAGGCTAAGTAAAGAAGGTTACTTGAGGAATTCGAGTCTAGAGGAGACCTAGACTGTGGAGCAGAGCTGCTCTTATTGTATGTCACGTCATCTCTCGCCTACACTTGGTAGTTGTCATTGCTAAGTAAAAATCCTCCAAGTTATAGTTAAGCTTTGGAATGACTGACACGTTAATCTGGTTAGAATTAAAATTTGGCGTTGGAATGTATATTTCAGCACTAATTTTAAAATCGCCTAAGATTTCCTGTGTCCGATGAGGGTATTAAACTTTGGTTTATAGCTGATGAAAGCTGATACAATCGTTTTCCGTTTGTAAGCTCATTGTGTTTTGTGTGTAATATTGGCTCTCTCCCAGTTAATGGAAATAAATGGTATAAAATACCGATGCAATGGAAAGATAAACACATATTCAGTATAATGTGATCCTTTATTGACAACGTTTTGCCCACACAGTGGGCTTTTTCAAGTCACAAACAGATCTACAGATCTGTTTGTTTCTTCGTGATGGACTGATTACATCTTCACATCTCCACTGCACCCGCCTACTTTCTGTACTCGACTGAAGAAGCCTACTGTGTAGGCGAAACGTTTCGGAATAAAGTTGCCTAAATGTTGCCTCCTGAAGTTCCCTAACATCTACGTTTGAATCAGTCATCCTACCTATCTTTGTGTCATCGGCGAATTTGCTCATTGTAGAACCGACACGTTGATAAATTAGACACGTGATTGACTGACCACATCGACTTAAGGCTGAGGGACTGATTACCTCATTCTCCTCCTGTTCTTCAAGATTCTCCTTTGTATGGACTGATGAAGCCACTGTTTGGTGAAACGTTTCCTCAATAAAGATATCCAAGAGTTGCACACGTGTCTAATTTATCATGAATTTGCTCATATCACTAGTAATACCCTCATCAAGGTCATTGATATATATATATTATAAACAACAACGGGCCTAAGATTGATCCCTGTGGTACGCCATTTGTTATAGATCCCCACTCGGACTTAACCCCATTTAAGCATACTCTCTGCTTCCTATTAGTGAGCCATGACTCGATCCATGACAGCACTTTTCCCCCAATGCCATGAGCAGCCACTTTAACAGTCTCTGGTGCGGTACTCTGTCAAAAGCCTTACTAAAATCTAAATAAACAATATCGAATTCTTTATCATGATCAACGGTCTCAAAAGCTTTACTGAAGGTTAATAAATTAGGCAGGAACGGCCCCTCGTGAATCCATGTTGAGTATCATTAATCAAGCTGTGCTTATCGAAATGGCTTCTTATGTTATCAGCTATAATTGACTCTAGTAATTTGCCTACAATTGAGGTCAGGCTTATTGGACGGTAATTTGACGGTAACGACTTGTCCCCTGCTTTAAAAATAGGAATTACATTAGCCATCTTCCACATATCAGACACTACACCTGTTTGAAGAGAAATATTAAAAATATTAGTCAATGGTTCACAAAGTTCCATTTTACACTCTTTAAGAACCCTTGAAAAAAGTTCATCAGGCCCGGGGATTTATTTTGCTTTAACCGGTCTATCTGTTTGATAACCAATTCAGTAGTGACTGTGATATTGCATAATTTATCATCATCAGGCCCACTATAAAAATTAATTACTGGGATATTGTTAGTGTCTTCCTGTAAAAATTAATTACTGGGATATTGCTAGTGTCTTCCTGTAAAAATTAATTACTGGGATATTGCTAGTGTCTTCCTGTAAAAATTAATTACTGGGATATTGCTAGTGTCTTCCTGTAAAAATTAATTACTGGGATATTTTTACCATTTGCCTGTTACTTTCTTAAATAATTTTATTAGTGCATAAATCTATTTTTTTTCCTGGAAGAGAGTCTGCATTTTGTCTGATTTTGTGAATTGTGATGGATTAAAATCGTGCCTTGTATTTCCAACTTACTTGCATTAATAACTAGTACATAAGCTACAAGGCAGGCCTAGATATAATTTCATTTTTTACTAGTACTGATATTGGAACGTTCATCTGATTCCAAAGTGATTTTTCTTAATAAGAGCTGGAGAATGGGGCAGGTCGACAGCAGGTGTACAGTGTGTCTACTGGCGAGCAGAATGTATCATGCATCACGTGCCACATAGGTTGTAAGTACGTGGTGGCTCAGCCTAACCCTAGTCTCACCCACCTGGTCGTCACCTGCACGGGATCCGAGCCCCCGTCCACCCACCTTCTGTCCCTGGCTGCCACCCGTGCCGACCCTCTGCCACTACATGAGCAGTCCAAGTTAAGGTAAGTTAGTATTTTCCACTGAACAAGACTCAAATTTAGCCTGAGACACAAACCACCAAGTTTATCATCATAACGACACGTGCCTGTATGCTTCATGATCACACCATGATCATTACTCTCCCAATACGTATCATAACCAACCAACACAGAGACTTGTCTGTTCTCTATTCTTACCCAACAGTGTCTCGGCTCGACCCTGGAAAACTTATCATTATGGTATTAGCATATCCTTTGTTCTCATCACCGCTACCTTTGTTGTCATATATTAAGTCTCAGTTGTTGTATTTCAGTAAAGTTCAGTACTGAATCTGTCCGATAATTAATTACCGGATTATTGAGCCTCTACCAGTCCTTACGTTTAGTGACTACACGAGAAACGTAAATAATCTTCATCTGTCTCAGGTCTGCGCTGAAGGACCTGGCGTTGCCAGTGGTGTACTCCATGGACGTGGCCCTGGCCCCTGCCCTTCACGCTGCTGTCACCCTCACCCTTCCTCCCGGCTGGTCCGCAGAGGATGATACTCTCCTCTACCCTCTCGTCGTTCAGATGTAAGTTCAGTACCTGCACACATTCTTATTCCTTATATTTTACTGAGCTGCAATGTTTCCATCAGTACGACAGATAGAGAGAGAAGCAGAGAGCTTATCCACTGAGCGGGTTACCACTTGTATAAAATCTTCGTTACGAGATAATTTCTCTGACAACCACGGTCTAAGTATGGGCCAACAGGCCTGCTGCAGTGTTCCTCCGTTCTTATGTTCTTATGTTCTTATGTCTAAATAAGAACATACTTGACGTAAACTAAGTTGTATATGTCCTAGAACTAAATTCTAGCCTGTGAGAAATAACTATACTTCTGTCGATTACATGTCGGTGTCGGGCTTATGATTATTATTATAATCAAGGGGGAAGCGCTAAACTCGGAGGATTATACAGCGCCTGGGGGGGGGGGGATGTGGAAGGCATTCAGGCTTAATTCGGGGAACTGGAGTACAGATCCAATTCCCTAAATCAAGAGCCCCTCACCAACATCAAGGAACCTTCTTGAGGGGTCGGGCTTATGAAAAATAATGTTTGTACATTTATGCACGGATCATTATTAGTAGAAGGCTTCATTAAAGTAGACTGGAGGAGATATCTGACGCATGTAACAACACTTTATCAGTGTCAAGACTACACTAAATAAAGGATTAATTATAAATTATAATTTAGTAAAAATTGTTCAAACTTGTCTTACCTGGAACAACAACTGGTGATTGTGTCTCCTGGCTGCCCACCCGCCCTCATAATGTTCCTGGCTGCCCACCCGCCCTCATAATGTTCCTTGGCTGCCCACCCGCCCTCATAATGTTACCTGCTGCCCCACACCGCCCTCATAATGTTCCTGGCTGCCCCCCTCGCCCTCTATAATGTTCCTGGCTGCCACCCGCCCTCATAATGTTCCTGGCTGCCCACCCGCCCTCATAATGTTCCTGGCTGCCCACCCGCCCTCATAATGTTCCTGGCTGCCCACCCGCCCTCATAATGTTCCTGGCTGCCCACCCGCCCTCATAATGTTCCTGGCTGCCCACCCGCCCTCATAATGTTCCTGGCTGCCCACCCGCCCTCATAATGTTCCTGGCTGCCCACCCGCCCTCATAATGTTCCTGGGCTGCCCACCCGCCCTCATAATTTTTCCTGGCTGCCCACCCCGCCCTCATAATGTTCCTGGCTGCCCACCCGCCCTCATAATGTTCCTGGCTGCCCACCCGCCCTCATAATGTTCCTGGCTGCCCACCCGCCCTCATAATTGTTCCTGGCTGCCCACCCGCCCTCAAAAATGTTCCTGGCTGCCCACCCGCCCTCATAATGTTCCTGGCTGCCCACCCGCCCTCATAATGTTCCTGGCTGCCCACCCGCCCTCATAATGTTCCTGGCTGCCCACCCGCCCCTCATAATGTTCCTGGCTGCCCACCCGCCCTCATAATGTTCCTGGCTGCCCACCCGCCCTCATAATGTTCCTGGCTGCCCACCCGCCCTCATAATGTTCCTGGCTGCCCCCCGCCCTCAATTTCCGCTGCCACCCCTCATAATGTTCCTGGCTAGCCCACCCGCCCTCATAATGTTCCTGGCTGCCCACCCGCCCTCATAATGTTCCTGGCTGCCCACCCGCCCTCATAATGTTCCTGGCTGCCCACCCGCCCTCATAATGTTCCTGGCTGCCCACCCCGCCCTCATAATGTTCCTGGCTGCCCACCCGCCCTCATAATGTTCCTGGCTGCCCACCCGCCCTCATAATGTTCCTGGCTGCCCACCCGCCCTCATAATGTTCCTGGCTGCCCACCCGCCCTCATAATGTTCCATGTAACAACTTTTTTTTTTTTATTTAAAAAATACAGTATATATGTATGGTATACATAATTGATTTAAAACAAAAAACGTGAAAACTTGATATAGGACAACGACAACATATAGCTAAACAGAGAACTACCTGAACATACCTTAACCACAAAATAACTATATAACCAAAACCTGACAGTCTTATTCATATTGTATGTGAAATTTTATATACAAAAACAATGTCACATAAACTAATGCATTGCACACTCCATGGTACTATGGTTATATAAAAAATTTATATACAAAAACAATATCATATAAAATAAGACTGCACACTCAATGGTACTCTGGTTATATAAAATAACTATCAGGAACCTACATGACTCTTGAAATTTAAACATGGTGTTCTTTAATTTTGGTTTTGTATATACCGAAAATGGAATCAAAATATGCAAAAAGCCTTTAATAATTAACATAAGACTTTCACAGATCCAGCATGTATGATTACATATGAGGAAACACTAAGACACATAATACCCCGACCAACCCCATATTTAGTTTCTCAAACTAATTATAAACCCACAAAAAGTATACCTTGCCTGTATACAGTGATATTAGTAAAGATGCTTAACTGAACATCAACTGACTATATGCACCATAAATGATAAAAAAAATACATGTGATATCACCGGGTGTGGGAACAACATCCCACAAAAGCTGCTGTCCAAGGAACTTGAATGTCCAAAGATTACAATATAGGACATTATACATCTCAACCCCCCCCCCCCCGTCACAGCGGTGACCGCTACAACATATACAAACAATCTCAGGCAAATGACACTTTTTGACCTTCATCAAAAGTTTACAACCACCACCAAAAGGTCTGCTTATGAACATTCCCCTTAAAGGCCAGTATAACGTTGTACTTTTAGCGGTGACATCAGCGTGGCATCCGCTTACAAATGACTAAACTAAACCTAACGGGAATTCCAGGAAAGACCCAACATACTTCACCAAACCCCGGCCATAGTCAGAACCAGTTCAGTCTTGTTAGAGGCTGGAACATATACTGAATATTGCTTTTTATCTGTATTATCAAAATGTATGACCATTTTAGGATTAATCCAAGATCTCAGTGCCACACAACGCCACAACCATACACACACAGACGCACGGAACCATTCATAATACACGTCACTGCCTAAAACCCGCCCTCTACCCTGAAGTCCCGAACATACCGTTTGGTGCTACCACGGGGGGAGTCCAGCCCCCCGTTGCCTTACCCCACCCCCAGTTGCAGCAACCTTTGAACAGTAAGACTTCGATAGTTTGCAGGAAAACTATTATTCCAACTTCTACCATATATGACTTTATTTCTGCAATACGTTCTGTAGATACCTGCCGCAATTGCCTGATCCTAACTGATCCCCCGGTTTCCCGCATACCCCACGAGATATAGAGGAAATCAGCCAACACGTACATTATTGTTCTTCGTACCTCACTTGAAACTCCGCTAACGTCTAATGTTAAGACTCGTAAGGTTGAAATACTTCCCCCACTAAGAAAATCTAAAACCCGCCCCAACCACGAACGAACATTGTCCAAGGTATCACAAAAGTAGACAGCATGAAAAGCTGTTTCTTCGAGACCGCAACGTAAGCAATCCGCCTCCCTTACCAAACCCATCCTATGTAAGACCGATTTTGATGCTAAAATCCCCATGGCAAATCTGTACACCAATTCACGAACCCTTGGTGCCAACTTAAGTTTATAAAATCCGTCCCATATTTCCCCCCAATTATACAGCGGAAAAACAGACAATCCCTGTACAATTTCCCTACGACAACATATGCTGACCATTTGCCCCACCCGGATCCGTTGCGCATTTCTCAACTTTAACAACAAACGCAGCATGTCCTCACACTCGATTAATCCCCTGCCGCTCCACCATTTACGCATTTCGATCATTACCCGACCCACCCGGATGCCCTTCTCACCGCCCGCCCTGAGGAACCGCTGCTTTACATAGAGGGCCTTCACCCGTGGCCCCAAAGCCAAGAGACCTAAACCCCCACGACGAACATGGGTCATAACCTCCCGACTTAACCAAGCTCTCCCGAAACCCCAAACATAACGTAAGACCCTTCTCTGCAGTTCCTGAATATCCATATCTCTTAAAGGGTACACCTCAGCCACACCCCATACTTTACTATAAACAAGTGTATTAACCACTACTGTCCTCTGTTGCAACGAGACATCCCCAGCTCTTAACCCCCGAAGTCGATCTAAAGCCTTGTTAACCACCAATTCAGAGTTTACCCTTCGGCCCTCCCTCTCATCTGCCATGTACACGATACCACACATTCTAAGTTGCACCACGACTGACCACCCGTACCTTTCGCCCAACCTCCCCCCCACCCATGTACCCACCTCCAATAATTTCGATTTTGCCTTATTGACGCACATGCCAAACTCTGCCCCAAAAAACTCAACAATCCATCCCACGATCTGCAAATCCTCCTCCCCTTTTAACAAAATCGTGGTATCATCTACGTACCCAACCACACGCGCTGCATGGTTACTGCTCAGCGTTCCACGCATCAAACCACCATCCACCAGCTCATAAAAGGGGTTTTGCATACAAGCAAAAGCAGCTGGGAGAAGGGGCACCCTTGCCTCAAACCCCTTTCCATACGGACCGGCTGCCCCAATTTACCATTTACCTGTACGCGTACCATAGCCGAGACCTACAAGGGTGGCCTGCAAGGGTGGCCCATCTTACAATCCCCTCTCCAAAACCCTGCTTCAATAAAATAAGCCTCAATAAATCTCTATCAACACAGTCGTAAGCATTTTGCCAGTCAAGCCCGAGGACACCCCCCCCCCTTGACATTCCTCCAAAAACTCCCTAATACGTACATGTCCGTCCCTCATGCTCCTACCTGGTATGCCTAGCTGTCCCTCGTGAATAACCGACCCCATAACCTTCCTCATTCTGTTTCCTAAAACTTTTGCAAAGATTTTATAGTCTGAGCACATAAGAGATATTGTTCTATATGCACTCAGACCCCTCCCTCCTCCCTTTTTGGGCACCAACACAACTACCCCCGTACTTTGTGACATACCTAACCTCCCCTCCGTGAGCATGCAATTCAATACATCAATCAAACAATGCTTAATACTTCCCCAATGCGCCCTATAAAAATCATTCGAAATGCCATCTATACCT